TTAAAAAAAGATGTGGTACATATATACAATGGAATACTACTCAGCTATAAAAAAGAATGAAATAATGTCATTTGCAGCAACATGGATGGACCTAGAGATTATCATACTAAGTGAAGTAAGTCAGAGAAAGACAAGTATTATATGATACCACTTATATGCTGAATTTTAAAAATAATACACATGAACTTATCTATGAAACAGAAACAGACTCACAGACATAGAGAACAGACCTGTGGGTCCCAAAGTGGGGGGTGGCGGTGGGGGGAGGAGAGGAAGGATGGGAGGCTGGGGTTAGCAGGTGTAAGCTTTTATACATAGAATGGATGAACAACAAGGTCCTACTGTAGAGCACAGGGAACTATATTCAATATCCTGTGATAAACCATCATGGAAAAGAATATATTAAAAAAAGAATTTATATATATATACAACCGAATCACTTTGCTGTACAGCAATAATTAACACAACACTGGAAATCAACTATACTTCAATTAAAAAAAGAAAAGAAAACCTCCTATTCTATAGCTTTCACAGTAGGAGATTAGATAGGAAAATGCAAACAGGAATATGTGAAAGAAAGAAAAAAATGATATTGGGACCAAAAGAAAAGAGAAAACAAAGTAAAGAAAGATAATATTATTTAAGAAACAGTGATGTCCCTTCTGAGAATAAAGGCAAGTGGCCACTGAAGATGTAGGCTGAAGTCTCCTTTCAGCCAAGCTCTCCTCAAAGGTCAGACACCAAATGAAGAAGGATTCTGAGGCTCTGATGTGTCCCTGGAGTAGCAAATACTTGAGTCAGACCTCCGGCTGTTTTCACTTAGCTGAATTGGAAATCATAAAAGTACCATTGTTTTTTCATTTCCATGGTAAGAACAAAATTAACAAAATATATCTCCATCTGATACGTTGCTAGGAAAGACAATAACACACATGGAAATGTGAGAAAAAAACAAAAAAAACCAAAAGAACAAGCTCTTTGGCTGTTTCAGTGTCCTTGAAAATAACCAGCTGTACAGAGATAGGAGGGCTGGACTCAATGAATAGACAGGTGTGTTGAAGATTAGATTGTTAAAAAGCTGTTTAGAATGTGGAGCAATGAAAATAAAGTGTTCGCTATACTTTTCTTGGACAAGGTTGTTGAGCATTTACATGGAAAGTCCTTTAAGTAAAAAGGATGAAAGTGCCTGTTTTGGGGAGGAAGGAGGTGATAAATGCTTTGTGCTGATACGGTCATCACACCAGAGGAATAGGTGACTTGCCCGGGATCTCTCAGGAAATCTAAAAACTGAAGAAGTTTGTCTACTGCCACCAAAGGAAAATGGAATAGGAGTTATTCTAGGAGATGGTTGTGATGGGTCAGTCTTTGGAACTGAAGTCTTACGTTACTCGTAAAGGAAGTCGTATGACAGTCACGTTCTGTCTTTAATTTAACACTGTCCAAAACACAAGTAAGGAATGCGGAAAAGCAAGCCAAAACAAAACAAAACCTGCTCCTGGGGAACGGACAGGAATACATAGACAAATGGATTTCTGATAAAGATACAAAGGAGATTCAGTGGAAAAGAATAATCTTATGGACAAAAGTTGATGGAAAAATTGGATATCCATATGCAAATACAAAACAAAACTTCAACCCATTCATTCATTGCCCCATGTTTTAGAACTAACATAGAGTGATTCACAGACCTATGTGTAAGACCTAAATCAAGGAAAGGTCTAGAAGTAAACATGGGTGAAAACTCTTGTGACAAAACACTACACACATACTGATTAGAAAATACAGCATGGCATGATTATTCAGTGAAAACAATACTTTCATGACACTGAACATAAAGATATTTGCGTCTTTGAGGGATATCCTTGAGGGAAGTAGAAGAGAAACCACCTACTCGGGAAAAATACTTGCAAATCTTCTATGTGAAAAAGGACTTCTATCCAGAATATATTTATTTATTTAAATAAATAAATTTATTTATTTATTTAAATATATTTATTTGTTTGTTTGTTTGTTTTTGGCTACACTGGGTCTTCATTACTGTGCGCGGGCTTTCTCTAGTTGTGGTGAGTGGGCGCTACTCTTTGTTGAGGTGCGTGGGCTTCTCATTGCGGTGGCTTCTCTTGCTGTAGAGCACGGCCTCTAGGCATTCGGGCTTCAGTAGTTGCAGCACATGGACTCAGTACTTGTGGCGCATGAGCTTCAGTAGCTGTGGCATGCAGGTTCAGTAGTTGTGGCGCATGGGCTTAGTTGCTCCATGGCATGTGGGATCTTCCTGGACCAGGGCTCAAACCCATGTCCCCTGCATTGGCAAGCAGATTCTTAACTACTGAGTCTCTATGGAAGTCCCCAGAATATATTTAAAACCTCCAAACTTCATTATAAAGAAACAAACAACCTGGGACTTCCCTGGTGGTCCAGTGGTAAAGAATCTGCCTTCCAATGCAGGGGACGTGGGTTTGATTCCTGATCGGGGAACTAAGATCCCACATGCCATGGGGCAACAAAGCCTGCACACACCACAACTACTGAGCCCACATGCCCTGGAGCCCAAGGGCCACAACTAGTGAGAGAAAACCCACACGCCACAACTAGAGAGAAGCACATGTCCCACAACAAAGAGCCACGCACCACAATGAAAAAGATCCCACACGCCTAAACAAAGATCCCATGAGCCACAACTAAGACCTGACACAGCCAAAAAAATAAAGAAAATAAATAAAAATTAAGAAAACAGAAACAAACAGCCCAATCAGTAATGAACAAATGACGTGGAGAGACACTTACCAAAGAAAACATACAAATGGCAAGTAAACACATAAAAAGGTGTTCCACCCCTTTATTCAGGAAATGTAAATTAAAACTGTAACTGGATGCCATTACATACTACTTATAATGTCTGAAATGACCACACCAAGCAGTGGCAAGGATTTGGAGCAACTGAAATTCTCATCTACTGCTGACAAGAGTGTAAAATTAGAAAGGCACTTTGATCCAGCAATTCTGCTCCTAAGTGTCTACCCAGGAGATAAGACAGCTGAGTTCCTTACAAAGATTTGTCCGTAAATATGCATCCATCACCATTTCAGTGGATAAAACTGGGATATATCCATATAACACTATGCAGGAGTAAATGGAAATGTAGTCTACAAGAGCAATATAGATAATTATTAAAATAAATATGCTAAGTGAAAGAAGCCAGAAATGCGCACACGTGCTCACACACACACACACACACACACACACACTCTAACACACACACACACACAGGTTCAATTTTTGAAAAATTCTAGAGAATACCAACTGATCTATTGTGTCAGAAAACTGAGGAGTGGGTTCCCAAGACAGGGTGGGGGATGGCAGAGAAGGGGCAGGAGAAAGGATGACCAAGGAGCCCATGGATCGTTTTGAACATGACAGATATGTTCATCATACTGACTGGGGAAAAGTTTACACACCTGTATTCATCCAAAGCTTATCAACTGTATGCCTGAAATATGTGAACGTTTGTTCTGTATCATTTATATCTCAGCAAAGATTTAAAAACTCATCTTTCAGTTCAGTATAGTGTTCATTTCAGTTACAGAGGTCTAGTTCAATTTCTATATTTTTATATCTCTAATCACAACCCATCCATTTAATTTTTTATTATTAACATGATCATCAGAGGGCTGGTCCCATCCTGAGAGCAAACTGTCCAAATGAGTGTTATCTGGAGAGTGGTTGCCCTTGGTTTTCTTAATCTAGTTTGCCTGATGTGTGGAGAGTTCAGGAGGATGGCTGAAAGAACATGGGCCTTAGTGTCAGGAGCTACACACACATAAGGCAAAAATCTCATAAATTGTAGTGAGATGAGGTTATACACTCAGGACAAAATGAAATTGTAGAGATGAATTTGGGAGGGATCTTTGAGTGGGGTAGGAGGTGAGAATTTGTTCTTGTTAGAAGTATTTTGTTAAATTTAAACATTATGATATAAATATAAAGAAGATGTAGTACACACACACACACACACACACACACACACACACAAAATGCAATACTATGCAACCATAAAAAAGTTGAAATTTTGCCATTTGCAGCAACATGGATGGACTTGGAGGGTATTATGCTAAGTGAAATAAGTCAGACAAAGACAAATACTACATGATATCACTTATATGTGGAATCTAAAAAATACAACTAGTGAATATAAGAGAAAAGAAGCAGACTCACAGATACAGAAAGCAAACTAGTGGTTACCAGTGTGGAGAGGGTAGAGGGAAGGGGCAAAATAGTGGGAGGGGATTAAGAGGTACAAACCATTAGGTATAAAATAAAGAAGGTACAAGGATATATTGCACAACATAGGGAATATAGCCAATATTTGTTATAACTGTAAGTGGAGTATAATCTATAAAAATTATGAATCACAAATTATGGTACACCTGTAACTTACATAATATTGTACAGCAACTATACTTCAAATAAAAAATAAAAAAATAAACACAGACTCCTGTGAGGAATGCCCTGATAACCGATTCATGGTATAGATGCCACATATAAAGCTTGTTAAACCAGTAAACAGGAACATCTTTAGTTTTAGAAAATAAGCTTCAACAGACCTCTTCAATGTTAAAGAAATAATATAGGAGTTGGGCATATGTGTCTTGGGCTGCTTATCCCATTTTGGAAACTCAGCATATAAAAGAAAATAAACCTTACCGTCCTTGAAATACTTCGTAGGGACTGTGATTTCTCACTAAAGGCCAAATGTCCGGATCCACTTAGGCTTCTCTTAAAACTCATCTCTTTATAAAAACAACAGATTGCCAGAAAAGCTCAACGGCCAACCGGGATACTGTAAGATGATTTATACGTAACCAAGGTCTTACGATGAACGACTGTTCATCGTGTGTTATGACAAGAGACGTATACTGTAGAGAGTGGCACAAACTCACATTCTCCCCGACAACTGGGACACCCTCAGCTTCTCCAGAAGCAGGATTACGAGAACCAACAAGATGAAGATTCTGCTGCTCGTCTTTGGTCTGGCGTGTGCTGACCAGGAACCTCCATCTGAGGAAGCTCTCTCAAAGGTACCCAAAAGGAGCTGATCTGGTAGGAGGTCTTGGTTGTGCATGTGTGTGAGAGACTCATGTTTACATGTCTGATCAGATTACATATATATATATCCCTTGGTCCATGTATCTACATGAGGATAAAACAACCCTTCTGTCTTTCAGCTCTTTGTATATTTTTTTCATCTTATTTGTCTGCAAATAGCAAGAAAAAATTATATGCTACCATTTAGATAGCAATGAATTGTCATCATCTTTAATGGCATTGTTTTAGCTATTTCAAGAAACTCTGAATTCTATCTTTTATGCTTGAGTAGGAATCATTATTTCATTTCATATTATTCTGCAAGTTAGGGGGGTAGAACCCTACTTTGCTCAATAAGATTGAATTTCTTTGTCTTCTGAGGTAAAGCAGAAGCAAAGATTATGCGGGGTACTGGTGAGAAAACAGTAAAGAGACTGACTAACATTTCTTATAGAAACTTTCCTTTTTAGATTACAGGAGAATGGCGCACCATTTACATAGCATCCGATGACGTGGACAAGACACATGAAAATGGCCCATTAAGGGGTCATATCCATAGGACTGAATGCAGCAACAACTGTGAAACAACCTACATTACTTTTTATACCAAGTAAGTGGAATTTGCCTAAACGTAAAGCAACAAAACTGTTGACTTTTCTTTTTTTTCTACCAAATATTTTTATTTATTTTTTGGATGGGAAGAAATATTTTTTTAACATCTTTATTGGATTATAATTGCTTCACAATGTTGTGTTAGTTTCTGCTGTACAACAAAGTGAATCAGATGTAGGTATACATATATCCCCATATCCCCTCCCTCTTGTGTCTCCCTCCCACCCTCCCTATCCCACCCCTCTAGGTCGTCACAAAGCACCGAGGTGATCATGAGGTCCAAGCTCAAATTTGCAGTGAAAGGTCTCTGGATGATGTTGTCGAATTTGAGCCTGTCAATTCTATTCATAGAAGAGCATTTTTGGTTTGGTGTCATATGCTTAGAGCTCATCACAAACCCCCTGAACATCTGCCTGTAGCCTCTTCTTAGAGGCCATACTGGTTGAGCAGCTCGGTTGGAATTATGTCATTAATAATTCAGATGAAGGCAGTAAGGAAAGACTCTTGTCCTGAATGCCTGAAAGTTATGGCAATAGCGTAATAGCGTTCCTATCCCTAGGATCTGTGTGTTTGATTCTTCAGGTTTTGCATATATTGGAAAGAGATTATATACAGTTGCTTTCATGGTATACTTCAGTGTGAAGGGTTATACACAGAAGATCACTCACCTGGCATCTTGGCGACAAGTTTCCATCAATAAATTAATACTTTCACGCAGTAACTGAACATTTATGGAATGTTTATTCTATTGGAGGCATTGTGCAAATGTGGGAATAAAAAATGACAAATTAAAAAATATGTCTCACCTTACAGTTCAAAACTGAATCAAGGTCACAGACATCCATGTGCAAAAAATAACAAAAAGACTCGCTGATAAAGGTCATACTGAAGTATCGATAAGTGAACGATTGTGCCAGTCATGGGAGTAGGAAACGGTTTGCACGGGGTGGTGTGTGTGGCATTTATTCACTGAACACTAAATGAAAGTTTAAACCAAGAATCAGAGAAACAGAAGAAGTGTGCAGAGAGGCATCGAGAATTCAGGGGACGTTGGATTTTCAGTGCGGCCACGGCCTATGTGTATGAAGTGGATTCCAGAACACCAACTGGAAACAAAACTCAGACTTTGTTCTGGAGAGTTTCCTATATCAAAAATATTAATTTTATGTTTACTATGTGGGAAATCAGCACGGATGTAGGCTTTAAAATAAGGGAATCATAAAATTCATTTTCTAAGTATTAGTCCTCCAGGAACTCACATGGTAGGGACTGTATTCAGTAAAATAATTTTGGAAAATTTTAGCAATGGAAGAAGTAGATATGAGGGTGACTGAAATCAACATTTTAAGAAAAATTTAGAGTATCAATAGCTTATTTTTCAAATTAAATGCTCAAGTTTGAAATTGTCCATCTGTAAAAATGGCAATGCCATTAAACCAAAGGATAGACTAACATATAAGGTGGAGAAAAACAAGTGTGAAAAAGAATTAATAATAATAAACGTGCCTGTGAGGTATAAGTTTGAGATGTGGTTAATGAATTTATACACAGCTGATCTGTGCATGGCGTGTAAATATATATTTCCATTTCTTTCTATGTCTGTGTGTCTGTGTCTACCTCTGTATGTCTATCATTCATTGATATTCTATTTGAAGCTTCTTACTTAAATAAGTACCACCTGAATTCACAGAAGTTGAACAACGTGCTTCAGGAGAGAGAAGACTTCAGAGTCTGTAGGAGCACCAACATTTATGGCAGAGGGAGAGACAGGGTCTTTGGAATGGAGACAAAGGACAGAGTGGGACTGTTTAAAGGAATGGACCAGCAATCCTAAAGGTGGGGCGTGGCTCTGTCCTCCCTCCCCGGATGGTACGTGGCCATGTCCGGAGATATTTCTGGTTTCACGTGGGAGCTGCTGGAATCTCCTGGGCAGACACCAGGGATACTGCTCCACACCCCACAGTGATCAGGACAGTCTCCCTTCCCCCAACAAAGAATTATCCTGCCAAAATGTCAAGGGTGCTGTGGGTGAGGAACCCTGTAATAGAACAAATAAAGCACCAAGTAGTACGGCTCAATTAAATGAGCCTAAGATTAAAAACATCTATAATTTTTAGCAATTAAAATGCATGGTAACTTTCGCAGTTCCTCAAGTGTTGAGGAATGGATGTGGAATCAGAAACGTCTTCTCTGTTTGTTTCTAAGGATTAATGGGATATGCCAAGAACACACACCAATGGGAACAGGAAGAGAAAAAGATATTTACGGAACAGACTGTGAATGAGTGACCTTTTCAGATGGGTGCATCTTCTCAAAACCACAGAATGTGTTCAAATGTACAGTCTTAGCTCCATCCAAGACATCTAGACGTCTGGATCTGTAAACAATTTTTTCTACTAATTACAAATGCAACCCTGAAAAAGACATTTAATTTTCCAAGCATTCATTTTGTTACACAACGTCAGGGTAAGGTCCAAGTTTGGAATGTTGCTACTGACAGTATCTGAGAAAAAGTCCCAGAGCATTGATTTCATATGTTCCTCAGGCATGCGGAAGTTTTGAAAGCTATTTAAAATTATACCATCTCTTTCAAAATTTTTTGTATCTTTTATTTGACCAACACGATCAAATATGCTCTAACTAAAAAAATTCTTAAATATTAAAAGTTCTGTATTAACATGTTTAAGAAGGATAACCTGATTAATTTAAATCCAAAAGATAAGTATGAGAATAGTTAAAATAACAGCAAAAATTTGAAACTAATTTTTACATAATTTAAAAGCAACGGGGGCATTGGGACAGACTTCTATCTCTATAGTTTAAAATAACTGGAAATGATTATCAAATATCAATATTGTAATATTAAGTGATCAAATGTCTACATATTTGATTTTTCTGGAAAAAAGGTACAATGTAGCCTTCTAATCTTGGTCTGATGCGCACTTTTTCATTTTAAATGTGGATATGCAGAAACATTTTGCAATACCTTCATTTATACCTCTTTTATTACCTCTTGTACTAGGAAATAACTGTGTTATGCATTAACTTTTATTTTAATATGATTCATTTAAGTTTATAGAGTTACTTTTTAATAATGGCTGTACTTGACAATTCGGTCACAAAATTCCTGAAAATGTAACACAATCATGTGTTCTTGTATGAGAGGGCTGCAGTCCACCACCAATCATATACCTACAAATTCTGCAATAAGCAACTTTGCTATTGTGCACAGACTGTTCAGTCTCAAGGACTGGAAGTCTTTACCATCTTCAGAAGAAGGGTTGTGGAAGAAGCTTGCCTACTTCAGTAGCTCTCATAACTCATTATTGACCAGGGGGTTTTTGCAGAAACTAACGCCTGTGGCCGGTGATTTGTTATGTAAATAAATACTGAAACGTCTCCGGTCAATCACGTGCGGGGTAACAAAAGGCGTATTAATACCTCTCTGGTCAAAAGTGCGTTAACTGGTTCTAACAACACACTACGAGAAATATCGGTGAGACAGAGATCATCGTTGAAGGAAAGACTGACCACAGCGTGTGAAAAATAAAGCATGTCAATTTGAAAATGAAAAAAGTTAACTGTATTGAGGTTTGAATTTTTTTTTCTATCACTGTCTCGGGTAGAAATTATTTCCAACTGATTATTGTATCAAAGAACATGTTGGTAATCTATGCTGAAAGCATCGATGAAGACAAGACCACACACCTGACTGAAGCAGTCGGCACATACTGTAGTTTACTCTATGCAAACTAAATTTGTTCATATTATCTGTATTTTTATATTAAGGACAGAAGTGCATATATACCTTATTTTTTATTAAGTACGCTGGAGCAGGTGTTCAGAAACATGGGAATTCAGACTTCATGTTGGCTGAGTCAGGGATGCTGAAAGGTTGTCTACTAAAAAAATGAAGAAATGTATCCACTAGGGACTCTATCAAGTGGCTTTTTAAAATATTATACACACTTATTCTGGAGATCCAATAAAATATTCCAGGATATTCCATGAGTTTCTTGCCAAATATCACACACTGGAGTAGCCAGGTCCTGACACCTAAGTGAGCCAAGATTTAAACTTTGCGTTCAGCAGAGTCACCAGTTTGCAGGCATCACTGCCTTCCTCTCAACCACAAATGCTTTATTTTTGTCACAATCGTTAAAATAATGGTTGAGACTTGAACCCAATATTCTGCAAACAACCACTGAATCATACTGAATCCTTCAGATGCAATGTTCTCAGTCAGCTCAATCATTCTGCCCTCTGGCCAACCACACGGGGCCACTGATAGATCCCGTTTAGGCTTTCCGATATTATATCCTCATTGGAGGTGCACGGGGGTTGAAGCTTGTCTTGGACAACGACAAAGCGTGAGTTTCCTCCCCGATTAGCATGTGTGATGCGGTTAGTATGCTCTGCTGAAAAGTCCAAAGCATTTTTCTTCCCATTCACTTGATTAGGGTTCAGGAAAACCAGGGAACAAATTCTAGAATGTAGACAAAACTCAAAAGGAACAGGGTTTGGAGGAATTCTGAGCTCTCAGGCCCTGCCATTATGTTCTCTGATGTACCTTTAGAGACTGTATCCAATTTGGGGCTTCTTTAGCTCACAGGTGAGTGGTCTTTAATTTTCTCAGTAGTTGTAAGAACAGGAAAGTGATAGAATGTTCAATATTTGGACTCTACCACATGGTACCATCTGAAGACCTGATGTACCTCCCTTGAAAAATTACCTGGTGAGGAGCATGGAGGGGCTGGGGGAGGCGGTGGTGGTGATGGTGAGATTTATTAGACAGTATTAGACAGTTATGACCCAGGTCATACTTTATAAACTATGGAGGGTTCTAACGGACATCTCTTCTGCCTTATTTGCTATGGAATCCCGCCAAAGGGCGTAGTCTCAGTGAAGAAGAATTCAACAAGTTCGAGGAACTGACCAAGGACAAACGTGTCCCAACGGAAAACACAGAAGATGTCATTGCAACAGGTAAAGTCCCAGAGGCCAACGTGTATCCAAGATGAAAACACACCACTAGGATACTCGATTCAAATTTCCTATTCTCACAGTTGTCTTTTATAAAGTCTGTTATGAAATGATCCTTTGAAATAGAGGAACTTCAATGATCATTTCCCCCCCATTCATGCTCTTTCACACACAACTGTCCTAACTAAGAACTGAGAACATCAGGTGGGTGGGTAGAAACATGATACATACACCTCCTGAGTTTTTTAGTAGGCTAAGGCTTTTTTTCTGGGGCTTACTGCTTTAAGAATGGGATACATACACAATGGAATATTACTCAGCCATAAAAAGAATGAAATAATGCCATTTGCAGCAACATGGATGGACACAGACATTACCATACTAAGTGGAGTAAGTCATATAGAGAAAGGCAAATATCATATGGTATCACTGTTATGTGGAATCTAAAAAAAGAGCTCAAATGAACTTATCTAGAAAACAGAAACAGACTCACAGACACCGAAAACAAACTTATGGTTACCAAAGGGAAAAGGTGGCGGGAGGGATAAATTAGGAGTTTGGGATTAACCGATACACACTACTATATATAAAATACATAAACAACAGGGACCTACTGTAGAGCACAGAGAACTCTACTCCATATCTTGTAATAACCTACAATGGAGAAGAATCTAAAAAAGTATACATTTATATTCATATATGTATCACTGAATCACTTTGCTGTACACCTGAAACCAACACAACATTGTAAATCAACTGTATTTCCGTAAAAATTAATTTAAAAAAAGAATGGCATAACAAAACAGTCCAACTTGCAAGGTGGCAAAGGCCAGGACTTCGGTAAGTGCTTGGATTTAAATATCCAAAAGAATCACACTGATCTGGACTCTACAGTGGGATGCTTTGAGGACCAAGGGGGGAAATTTTGCGAAGCACTAAACTGTGAAATACAATTAACCCTAGTGAATCCCAGTGTGAACGAATCATCTTGCAGCCACAACATGGTTTATAATTATAAATAAGATTTAGAGAAGCTGTAAGCATCTCAGACTTACACCGTATGTAATTTTCTCTGTCTTGGAGCCGTGAACACGTAACTTAGAAGCTCTCAGCGTAAGACCCGATACAGGATCACACACAACTAATTGCACCTGGTGGAAGCGTTCTATCCAACCCCACACGGGCACATACGCAGACGGAGCTCTGTGAAATGAGTCCTGTCGGAGAATTTTTCCACTGTCTCCCCCAGCAATCGCTTGTATTTTTTTCATGTTTGTAGAAGACAACGACCTAAGGCTATAAGCAGCACTGGCACCGCTAATGCGTCAGAATTATCCATATGAAGATAAAAACAGCCTTTCCCTTCACATCATGATTTCTCCTTTCCCAGGAAGTCATGATCCTGGACTCATGGCTTTCCTTCCATGAATCGCCTATGCCCTTCTTGATGTTAGTGGATTCCTAAACGGTTAAATAAATCGATCAATATACCTATGAAGAAAGGTAGCGTACTTGCAATGCCCAGAAACACTTGCACACAGCTCGGCAGAAAACCGAGTAAGCAAAGAACCAGGAGATAATTCTGTTTAGGACGTGTAGCGTAAATCCTGGAAGTGTCTCGGTGAGAAGAGAAAATAAATCACAGATGCTGCTTTTATAATGTGATATAAATCTCCCACCAGATGTCGCTTGAGAGACGGGACTGGCTAGTCAGACTACTTCAAAAAAGAGCCAGTGCTTTCCTCACTAGAACCAGAAAACACCTCACTTATTACGGGGTTGAGCTGCGTTCATGTGCTATGGGGGTGTGCGTGTCCCTAAGGATTCGGCAGAATGCAGTATCATATGACCGACACTGTAATTTAGAGGAAGCACCAGCTGATACCCTCTCACCACACCTCACGTGCTTGTAGCTCTTTCCCGAAATGAGATACTTCATTTTTCCTTAGAGTGTGATGGTTAGTCATCGAAGACGAGAAAGGAGCTAAAATCTGATGAGGTTAAGCCACAGGGAGAGAGTCTAGTTAAGATGCAAAACAAAGCCCTTGCACGTGTGATACACGAAGCCCAATTATGATTAGATTATGACTAGTCCAATACTCTACAGAACCCGTTATGATCAGGGGACCATAGTACCAGGATACCTACATACAGTCAGGGTCGCTTCTTAGGTAGATAGAATTCCCAGTGGCCTACTATAGCAATGAACAAAATGCTTAGCATGTAGGAGATCATCATTTTCTTAACCGAAATCCACCAATGGATTTCCACCAATCCACCCGCGGGCTACATGAGCAGCTTCAGGTGACGAAAACCCAAAGGCTGGTACAGGACTTCTGGAAAGACTGAATGAGGAGCTCATAGAATTCTCTCCTCCGACAAGATAACTGTGAAACTCACAAAACTATGAACTTATCACAGACAACTATGTTAGGGTTCTGGAAATCAGTTAAGCGTGTACAACAAGTACGAAAAATATTGACTCAAGAAAAAGCACTGAATGTTGGTTAAAAAGAACAGGGTCTGCGGTGTCTGACTCAGGGCTGCTACTGTCCCGTCTTCTCTCCAAAGACGAGCAGCCTTGCTGCTGAGGGAGTGCGCTGACTGATTTGCAGCTGTGCATAAACATCCCGTATCAGGGGTGTTTTCAAAATCAACAGCAATTGATTGGTGGGAAATGATGGGAAAAAGAGCCTCATGGCTACCCCGAATGATCAGAGTGCTGGACCGGGCAAGAGACTAGGTGAAAAACGTCAAGGGAAATGGGAAAGATGGGACAGTCCTGGACAACTCTGGAAACCTCTGGCATGTTCCCGGGGATTTGGAAGGCTGTATGCACATGCAGGGCTGCAGCAGCGCCAGGAAAGACGGAATAGGGCGTTGGTTACCTACTTGCCCAGCGCTCCCTGTAAACCGCGTGCACTTTGAATGCATGTTGCAACCCACACGCGGGTCTCCTAGGGCAAGATGTTTGTGCCTTGCTGACTCAAGTTGTTTAAAGAAAACGGAACCATCAGTGGTTGACGACTAAGCTAGGCTGACTCAGGGCTAACCACTAAGAAGCCAGCCTTAAAAATAAAAACAAGAATTTAAAAGAAAGGGGTGGGGGGGTGGGGGAACTCCCTGGTGGTCCAGTGGTTAGGACTCAGCGCCTTCAATGCTTTGGCCCGGGTTCAATCCCTGGTCGGGGAACGAAGATCCTGCAAGCCATCTGGCACAGCCAAAAAGAGAAAACAAAAAAGAAAACAAAAGAAAACAAACTGAGCAGAGACATCAGTGGCTTCACACTGCAGGGAACAGAGACTCTAAAAATTATTACAGGCAAGCCACTAAACAAAAAACAAAGTTTCCTGAGCCCCTCATTCAAAAAAATAACAACAGTAAAACAAAAATATGAAAGCAACGGAAATCCCAGAGAAAGTCAGAATTCAAATTTGTTACTCTATAATGATCTAAAATGTCCAATTTTTCAACAAAAAAAATCTATTAGATATAAAAACAAAGAGGCAAGGATAGCCCATAAATAGAAAATAATCTAATGGAAAGGCCCAGATATTGTCCTAGGAGAAAAATACTTAAAATCAGCTATTACTAATATTTTCAAATAAGAAAAAAAAATTTTTTTAAATAATGAGTATAATGACAGTAACACACCTCCAAAAAAGGCTTCTGATAAAGAGATAAAACTTCCTTTAAAAAAAGAAAGAAATTGAAAATCTGGAGTTGAAAGTTATAAAATAAATGAAAAATTTACTAGCATGACTAAGCGGTAGATTTGACCTCAAAGAAGAATGAAATCAGTGAATCAGAAGCTAGGTCAGTAGTTATGATCATGCTGAGGAAGAATAAGAATAAAAAATGAGAAAAAAGGAACAGAGCCTCACAGACTTACGGAATTCCATTAAGAATATCAACATATATCTAATGGAGTCATAGAAAGGAAAGAGAGAGAAAAAGCACAAATTTAATTAGAAAATGTATTGGGTGAACACTTCCCAAATTCAATGAGAAAACAAACACACAACAACAAAAAACTAATCTCTATTCCCAAATGCTCAAGAAACTCCAAGTAGAACAAATATAAGGACATTCACATCTAGATACATCATAGGAAATCTTCCAAAAGCCAAGGATAAAGGGAACATCTTGAAACTGGCCAGAGAAAGATGACCCACCAAGAAAAGGAACCTCAAAACGATTAACAGCTGAGTGTTTATCAGATGTGATGGGGTCTAGAGAACAGTGGGATGGCATATTCAAAGTGCTAAAAGAGAGAAAAAAAGGCTACCCAGCAAAAACCCTGTATCCAACAGAACTATTCTTCAAACACGGAGGCCAAATAAATGCCTTCAGAGATAAAGGTGTAGAGAATTGATGACTAGCATACTAACCTCAGAAGATAGACTAAAAGAAGTCTACAGCTGAGCATGGTAACTTGAATGCTCATGAATAAATAAAGACACACAGACTAGTCATAAAGGTTTCTACATAGGTAAGTATAAGAGAGAGTGTAAGTATGTATTATACAGACCTGTATCCAGGAGGAAATTAGTGTTATGTGTTGAAATATGTCCCCTCCCAAATTTCCTATATTGAAGCCCTATTGCCCAATACACCAGAATGGGACCATATTTGGAGATGCAGCCTTTAAAGAGGTGATTAGGTATAATGAGGCCATTGGATGGGTCCTACTCCAATCTGACTGGTGTCCTTATAAGAGGAGGAAATTTGGATACACAAAGAGACACCAGAGATTCATGAGGACAGAAGAGAGGCCACGTGAGGACAGAAAGAGAAAGTCAAGCCAAGGAGAGACGCCTCGGAGGAAACCAGCCCTGCCAACACCTGGATCTTGGACTTAGAGCTTCCAGGACAGTGAGAAAATACTTGTCTGTCATTTAAGTTGCCCAGTCTGTGGTAATTGTTATGGCAGCTCTAGCAAACTCATTCAATTTCCTATAATCATCTCAATAGATAAAGAAAAAGTAACTGGCAAAATTTAATATATTAATCATAAAAATTATTGGGAGGGCTTCCC